CCCTAAACTGAAGCGGTGTTTTTTAAAACCCACTGCTTCAATCTAGGGCCCCCCTTTTGTCTGTGTATGCCCTAAGTGAATGAGTAAGGGTCCCAAATGACAAAGGGACCTGTGGACACCTCCTTTCCTTTGAGCCAATTTCTGTCTGCAGTTACCATTGTACTCTGTTACTCCTGAGTGAGTCCAATGAAACTTGATGTCAGTGGGCCTAGCATGCTTAAAGTTAGGCAAGTGCTTAAATATGGAGATCTCCCTTTACCAAATGGACAATGCTTAATAAAGGAGGCTAGACTGTGTTGCAAATGTAGTAGGAGTCCTTTTATTTTACACAAAGTTTAAAATATATAATTCAGTCACCTTGTTTAACCCAAGGATGGGCAGGTAGCCTATATTTGGAGATACCCTGAAGTTTAATAACTAAGGTAACTGCAGTTCATTTGGTTTTGATGCTTTCATTCACATGCATCATCCTATCTGCAGCTCATATTCATTCATTGGTTATTAATATCATTTGCCCTGCTATTGGGACCATAGTTTTCAGATCCAACCTGGAGCCAATCATTCTTGAGGTTTGCAGATACTTGGACGTGGGCAGTAGCACTTTAGGGGAGGGCAAACCGGGCAACCGGCTAGGGCCCCACACTTTATCAAAATAAAAATTAATTACACTGAATATTTGTGTTATCAATGTTGTTTTAAGATACTCATTGCAGTTTCATGGGTAGGGCAATGTGAAATTGAAAATATTCGACTTTTTTGCCCAGGGCCCCAACAACCCTAAGGCCACCACTGACACGGGGTTTTAGTTCAGGCTGATACCTAGTAAACAGACACACGTATAATATCCAGTGCTAAAATTATCCCCTGGACCACTTTTGTTATCCCCTGAACCACTTTGGTTCAAGCACCCTTCTAACAATACAGCCATGAGCATGTCCAGGTGTCAGTGGGTTGTTGCAGAATTTCTTGTATTCAGAGGATCAATTAGTTATGTAGCTTCTTATCAACCTAATCATTTCTCCAGTCTGCAGTATTGTCTTACACATCACTATTGTTTGCGCAGGGTTCTTTAGAAGAAGCATCACTAAAAATGCTGTATACAAGTGTAAAAATGGAGGCAACTGTGAGATGGACATGTACATGAGAAGAAAATGCCAGGAGTGTCGGCTGCGAAAATGCAAACAAATGGGGATGTTGTCTGAATGTATGTATACAGGTATTTGCATCAAGCAATTTGAGCACCATGAAAATGTCTCACATATTACTTTTGTCAAACGGGGCTGTACCTAATAAGATGAAGTGCCTACACTCATGCAAAAGTTGCTAAAATTTTCAAAGACATTGTCTGGCAAATCTGAAGGCAGAGACTGCAGCACGAAGGGCCCTGTAATCCATGGTTAAGAAATCTTACTGAAAAAGGTATGACTCATCCATGAATGATGAGATTTAGGAAATGATAGAGGATACCAAAGCATGAAGTGAGAGATGATATGGTGGTAAGAAAAAGACCTTTACTGCTGGCAGCTACCACAAGGGAAAGCAAGAGTTGAAGAATCTGCTTGAGAGTGAGGGAATGTCAATTCAGTGGCAGCCAAAAAGGGGTAGAGTTTGAGAAAGGCATCAGATGGAGAAGGGGAGGAATTCATAGAAACAGAAATCTGCAATGTTAGGGCAGAGAAAAGACCTGTTTTTCCCCAATGCCACTGTTTAGTGGCCTACTTCCTACTCCTGGCTCTGAGGTAGATTGGCTGTCAATCAATAGCAGTTCTCCTAAAAAAGAATGGCTACTGTTGGCTGGAAATTGGTCTGTCCCCAGCCCTCACCCTTTAATCAGGACAGGGTTAGCAATGACCAGGCACTTTTTATAGTTTAGTTAGCACTTCCAATGATGCTCTCAATTTTTTATGCATTTGAGATAAAGCCATAGGTAGAATCAACTTCAGAGTACTTGGTTATACAGATTTTAAATAAAAAGGGAATTAAGATGACAGCTTTTGTATTACCAAGCTTGAGGCCAATCTATTTTAAACAGGTGTGATGTCACATTATCCCCCAAAATGGGGCATCAAAATTGAATTCCTGATAGAACTTCAACTATAGCATTTATAATTGTAATATATTTAAAAACTCCTGGAAATATAGTGCATACATCTGCATATGCTTCCTACAGTGAATAGGACTATAGTCTATTCAACTTATTGATGGCTCCAATCATTTTAGCATAAGGTAGTGTCAAACCAATTTAGGCTCATACAGGAAATTAATCTACTCTGAGTTTTTAATATACTTCTATCCTTCAATCTGATTGTGAGATGCTATATTAACTGTTGGCTTTGTGAGAAACAATAAGCTCCATCAATATTTGGAATGTGTGCAAGTATAATATAATTAATCTTTCATTCTGTAAATTGAACAGACTACAAAGATCCTGAGATATGACATATTCCTGTTCAATACAGAAATATACAAACAAATACTACCAAAATGATGATAGCACTCAATGAGTCAGTAAGTGTCACAAGAGAATAGAACCCTGCGGCGCTGAACCCACCTCTATTGTTCCAAGAATTCAAGAGTATGGGATAGTCTGAACAACTCATAATAGCAGAAAAACAGCTGATCACAGAAAAAAAAATAGGTCAGTGTAAATAATACTGACCAAGGGCACATGAAACTTTTAAACTAGCTGATCATTTTCTCAAATTGGCGTATGTGAAACAAAGGCCAACAACGGTTGCTGCTATTTGAATCTCTCTCTGCAATGGAAACACTTTCTTTGTTACTGGATATCTCATGTTACTTATAATTTAAACATAAGTGTGTTCTAAAGTGCTGGAATGAGGATATTTTGCAAGCCACCTTTAACCAGGTTGCAAAGGCAGAGTGTACCATACACAACTTGTTTGTTCAGATCTGGGCCAAATAGGGTGGTAAGATGTAAATGTTCCATTAGGGAGACAGTCTTTAGGTGAATAAGTCCCTTTGAAATAAAAGCTTACCTTGAACTTTGCTTCATTTACTCATACTGTAGGATTGTTCTGACAAGCATCAAGGAGTTATGCTATGACAAAAGTGGGAGGTAGACTCTCATAAACATTTATGACACTGCTCATTAAACATTTCCATACTCTTTAACACAGAAACCATAGACATGTCCAAATTATTTGACCAACAGTTTTAAATACGTCTTTTTGTTCTCATAAATTGCACTTTCTAGCATAGGTTGTGTCAAATTAAAGGTCAGATTCTGCTGCTCTTGTTCTCATTGAACAGCATATGCTGTTCATTGCAGATAAACTAACTGTGAGATAAAAATGAGATTTTGGTTACTGTGAAGTTAGTAGGAAAATTCTGTTATTGACTTCTATGGAGTCAAGATATAATTTCCAGATATTATCCAGGAGGAGTAAGGATGACAGAATCTGCCCTTGGGTGTGCAGAACACAGAGCAAACTACGGGTGAATTTTCTTCATCTGATGAAATTCAGCACAGCTCGATTGACTGTACAGCCATTGAAGCACTGGCCCTACGTTTCCATAATAAGCATGCTTCTACACATATTGTTTAGAAAAATGCAGCAATACAAATTACGTACTTTGGTGCCAATTATATTCTGCATCATCCCCATCACTCATATTTCCCTATTTTAAGGTACTATTTGTAGGTCTTATTTTAATCATGTAAATTTCCTCTTTTCTCAATGATGCAGGTAGGTTATTTTCTATAGTGCTTAAACAGGAAATTAAACACATTCAGAACTGAATTGAGTGTTTTCATGGTATCTTCCTCTTCCATCATATATTCCCTGAATGAGTCTTTTTTCTTGCTCTGCATTTTCAAAGGTGGAGAGCAAAGCAAGGTCCTTGAAAGAAACTCTAAAGTGAAGTTTTATTATGATGGTTCTGTTTCTGGATTCATCTTTACATGCTTAGCCCTTGGGCTGCACTTGCTGGCTCTTCTCAGAGAGTTGTTTTGGCTAATTGTTGCTATTTGTGTTTGTTAAGTGAGAGAATTCTCTAATTTCTGTACAAAATCCACATACAGAGGATGCATGCCTATCAATATTTTATTTTCAATCTCCAGGTTTGTTAACAGAAATACAATGCAAATCAAAACGTCTAAGAAAAAATGTGAAACACCACCCTGATCAGACAGCTGCTGAAGAGAATGAAGGGCCTGACCTGAAGCAAGTGACATCAACAACTAAACCATATAGAGTAATAAAATTCATGTAATACTCTGTACAGTAGTTGGGATATTTGAGCTAAACAGTATATTATACAATAGTTTTTAGAGTTCTTTGATAACACAAAACATTTTCTCCACATTTGCATTATTTCTTATAATAAGATAACAGTATTTAATGACATCAGGCAATTGAGAAATTTTTCTTAATAACACTTAACATGACAACGTTCCATATAGATTCTAAGGGGATTCTTTGACCTTAATTAAATACGTCTAAGCTTACACAGTCCATGAAGAGATTGGATGTATGCACTGCAAATCTCTATAGGATAAATTGCAGAGCTACATGATAAATAATAGAATACATGTTAAAAGAGATTTCACACATGATTCTGCAATTTGTCTCATGGATGTTTCCATTATATGCATCTACTGATCTAATCTCTGAATGGGACATGCATGTGTATCAAATTAAAGTTCCATAAATTGTGGCGCACACTTCACATCCTCATTTGGAATGCATGAATCCATCTCTCCCAAGACTACTGTTAACATTTCAAACTGTGTACTGCAAACTGCTGCCATTAAAAAAAATCAAGTGGAAAAAAAAAATTTCCTTCCATTTTCCCCCACCCCCCACCAAATAAGATATTCCAGTTGCCTTCCTCCAAAATATATATCTTCACAAAGCCCAGAATATTTAATC